AGGAGTCTCATTTCCAGAAGTTGATCAACTTCTAGTTACATATATTCAGAATGCAAATCTAAATGATCTTCTTTTATATGGCAAGGAGATCAAGGAACAGTGGAGGGAATTTGCCCAACTCAAAGGTATACCAAGCAGTTCTTGGCTGAGTCTCAGTGGTGGCTGGCTAGATTGTTTCAAGAAGCAAAACAACCTGCGCAAATACAAAACACACGGTGAAGCTTCTTCAGCCTCTCAGTAAAAAGTGGAGACTGAAGTCAAACGAGTCCGTGCGATCACTTCTGGCTACAAGCCATCTGATATATACAATATGGATGAGACCGGTTTGTTTTATGCGTAAGTTTCATTTTCTTCTTATCGATCACATCATCATGAACATAAATCTTTTGACTGATGATTTCACGATTCAGACTACCATCTGACCGAGGCCTTGCCCAACCAGGAGGACATGGAGTTAAAGCTTCAAAGGATTGTATTACAGTCTTCTTGACTTGTAATGCTCTGATTGTCTAGGAACTCCGGTCTGTTTCATGGGTCAATACAAAAGTCCTTGTTGGAGTGCAATCGACATAAGGTAAAATTACTTAGACTAAATATTGAAATGACATATAGAGCAAACGACGTATGGCAGATTGACAGTAACCCCAATTAAATAATCATTTCATTTTTCCTTATATATTGAATAACATTGTACTCGTATATTTCTCTTTCCTCTTGTCTTTGGAAAGAGAAAACTGTTTTCTTCATCACATCATCCTTAGACCAACTGAGCACATAAGCTCATTTCTGTTTCATCTTGTAACATATTGAACCTCACCACAGGTCAGTGATCTTACCTATTCACTAGTAGATTGTATATTTTCATCTCATAAGAGATCATTTTTATCAGGTCAGTGATCTTACCTATTCACTGGGAGATCATATATTTTCATCTCATAAGCAATCATTGTTATCAGATCTTCATCACAGGTGACAATAAGGTGTTCGAAGAAACTCATACATTTTCAGTCCTTGCTGCTTTAATAAACTCTCACCTCAAGCTTTGAAACTTAAATACTACATAACACTACACCAAATGTAATCTTTACCGGGCGGTAAAGAAAACTACTGACATAGAAAAGTCCTGAGGCAACAGGAAGAGAGCTAAAATTCTGAAAAAATATGCACCTTGTTCCTAGATGTTGGGGCGTCATGATGAGTATTTTTTTGTATTTTACACGCAGATATTGGTTTATGTACTAACAATAAACGCTGAAAATCATCAAAAACTCACATGTAACAATACCTAAAATTTGGGTCATGAGTATGAAGACAATATTTTGTGGTCTAAAAACTTCAATAACTTTTGCAATTCTGCTCCAAATAACTCGATTTTTGGTTCATTCACAAGCTGAACTATTCTCCTTCACACTTCATAATGTTAGTAAGGTGCTATCTAGTCATTTAAACACTCTACATATGTTCAAACAGTTCTGCATGAATAGCTCTGTAGGATCCTTTTTAGACCAGCTACAGATGTGATGTCTCAATGAAAAATGTAGAGGGAAGGCTCACCTTTTTAATGCACTTCAAATCGAGTGATTTGATTCAGAACTTCAAAAGTTATTGATGTTTGAAGATTCCAAAATCCTGTCTTCAAAGTCAAGGGCCAAATTTCAGGTATTGTTACAGGTGGGTTTTTGATGATTCTCAGCCTTTATTGTTAGTACATTAACCAATATCTGTGTGTAAAATATAAAAAAATACTCGTCATGACGCCCCAACATCTAGGAACAAGGTGCATATTTTTTCAGATTTTTAGCTCTCTTCCTGTTGCCTCAGGACTTTTCTATGTCAGTAGTTTTCTTCACCGCCCGATAAAGATGACATTTGGTGTAGTGTAAGCAAGAACACGTGGATGGACACCAAGATCTTTCAACAATGGATTGGATCTTGGGATAATGTACTCGGAAAGCAGGGGCGTCAAATCCTTTTACTTGTTGATAACTTCTCCGGTCATTTAGTGCCTGAGGAATTTCTAAAGAACATCCAAATGGAATTCTTCAAGCCTAATCTCACTGCGCATGTCCAGCCATTAGATGTGGGTATCATCAATGCTTTCAAAGCACAATATCAACAACAATTCCTATCCCGCTTGCTCCAATGATTCAAGGAAAATGTGGAAATATCTGAGCTTCATACAATCGATATCCTAACTGCTGTGCGCATGGCCAGGCTTGCATGGTCTGCAGTCAGTTCTGTGAGCATCAAGAACTGTTGGCGTCATACAGGCATTGGGGATTTTGGAGATGGAATAGAAAAGATGTATGTAACATTCTCTTCTTTCAATTGAGATGGAATCTCACTATTGTAAAGTACATAGCTCCAATGAAGATGTGAGTCTTTGAGCGCTTCTTCCCAATGTTGATCTCGAGGCTGGCCTCCAAGCACTTGAGAACACAGGAATTGTGGGTTTGGCTAATAGAATGTCAACTGCCGAGCTCTTGAATCCGCAAGACAAGAATCCAGAACCCGTTTCAGCAACGCCAGAGCAATGGTTTGAGGCACAGAATCGAATGGAATTTGACGCTATTCAGATGGAGGTGGATGACCCACTGATACCTCCGACAGCTTGTGAAGCTTTAAAGGCAGTTTCTTTGCTTATTCGATTCATTGAATGTACTGATATGCCCGAAGCAACAGCTGTTGACCCCCTTCTTCCTGCTCTTGAAAGCGCATTAATCAGCAAGACCTATTTGCTAACAAGTTTCAGCCCTCCATCACCTCTTTCTTTAGCAGAAATTAAACAAATTTTGTGATGTATGTTATGATTCATTACACGTACTGTGACACCCATACACATACATTCCACAGATCTAGTTTGTACTTAGATTACCCAGGAGGGATCCCGTTGTATTCCTCATCCAACAATCTAGTTATACAATCCCAAATACCCTTGACGAGAGACCCCTCATCCCTTGTCAAAGACCCCCAATATCAGCCTTAACAATGTAGTTACAATTTCAAATGTATTCTTCTCATACAACACTTAACACAGCAGATACTAAAAAATTTGATAACAAGTTATACTTTTTCAACATTCAGCTGAGGCCCCAACCCGTACAAAGTCATATTTTCTATGGCTGTAGAGGGACCACCCTCTAAAGGCATGATTTTCATGTCTTTAGAGGGATATTTTCTATGGCTGTGGAAGGACCACCCTCTAAAGCCATGTTTTCCATGTCTTCGGAGGGTTTTCAATGTAAAGCCATGAGTGTATGTCTATAGAGGGGCTCCTCAACAAAGACATAACCCCTCTATATCCATAGGTTTACCCTTCCACCGGGGGTATGGCTTTAGAGGGGTTTGACTGTACCCCAAAATCATTTTTCTTTGGAACATCTTCAAAACTGCAGGAAAAGATATGAAAAATGTGAAGAATCATGGGACATCACAGGCAATTAAACCATAATTTTATCAAATTTTTCCAACCCCTCACACATTGCTGAAAGTTTTCTACATTTTTATTTTTCTAAACTCCGCGGTAAAATATTGATTTGGTGTAGTGTAAGTGAATCAGAGATCACCAAGTCTCTTATAATTGCCGCGGAGAGGCTCTTTGTGCCAAACTCTTGGGAGTATTTATTTTTGAAAGAGAACATATTGGAAAAGTAAACCAACATGAAATCCTCTAGTTGCACAGCTCATCTTGCACTTTGGCGCAACATCAAACAAATAAAAGAAAATTTGCTCGAAACGAAAAAAGCCGCTGCCAAAAATTCAATTCTGTTGTCACCAAAACCTAAACCCTGTTGTTGTTAATCACGGTCATAGCTACATCAGTTTGACCGCGATACTTTGATAGAACGACCACTTACGGGTATGTTAACGGAAACTTAACCGACGTGGTCAACAAAAGCTACACCCTGTTGTTTCTAATCACGGTCATAGCTATATCAGCATGGCCCCAACCCTTCATATAACAAACCCATCTGGGCAGTGAATGAGAGAAGGCTCAGCCCATTGCCAAAACCCGTTGACAGTCTCCGCCTGGGTCTCCACAACACGGCTTCTTTTGCAAACAGTTGTCATTCTCCATCATTGCCGTCATAGGGCCTCACAGCCGTTGGCGGGGCACGAGTTGCATGACGTTGACCTGTTATTGCATTTGCGGAAAGTGATGCAATTTAAATCAGGGATGACAGTCCAATTAAATAGAGCGACCGAGCCCTTTGCTATCAACCTGACTAGGCCAGGCGCCTTCACTGACTGTGAGGCAAGACTAACCCCGCAATGCAGGTTAGTTAATCTCATCACTACCAGCCAGTCAGGGCCAAAAAGTTGTTATCGGAGTAGCATGGTAGCATTTGGTTTATTTGAAGGCATGCTTAATGGCGGATGACAGTGGAGAAATATGAGGGCAAAGGGGTGATGCATTGCTAAGGGAGGCAGAGTACAACATCTTATAAATTCCCAAGTGCTGCCCAGCAAGCGTGTAGGAACTGGATTTCCGTGGTGGTTGAGTTTGATTTGAGCATGGGAATGGCATTTGGCGCATGAACCGGGACAGTCAGTGGTATACAACAGCATTGGAGGATGTGTCAATGGTTTCATGGGGACTGTGATGGTCCTTTGTCGGCAGTGACAAATTAACATTGTAATTGAGCGGTGCATCTTTACACAGAGCACAGGAGGGCGGCGGGCCGCCCACGGGACTCTAGTTGTTTCAAAACATAAAAGGACTGAACCAGTAAATCAACATCTTGACTTCATGTGAAAGCAATTTGATGAACTCGACTCGGAAGGTTGAAAACTACTACAGTTGAACCAGTCTAGTCTCAACCACAAGCCGGCCGGGGCCGACCCAAGACCCAAATATTTGGCCTTCCAGATTACCTTAGGGGCCCTCCGGAGCCCCAGGGATTTTTTATTTTTTTTATTTTTACCACGTTATCACCGCTTCCATCACCGCTTTCAACTCTTTCAATCAAAGTTTCATTTTGTTTATAGTTTAATTCATCATGGCTAGGGCAAGCAAAGCAGCCAAAGCGCAAAAAAAGCGGTGGAAGGAGTTTTGTGCTGCCAAACACCAAAAAGACACTTTGGTAATCTCTGATTCAGAAGACCAAGTACAGGATATCGTGGACAAAGCCCTTCAACTCTCACCTACTTCTGACTTGGCACTCTCCAAACCCTCTCAGCCCCCAATCACAATTAATCTGGACTCTGACTCTGATATCGAGACCTTTCCAACTCCTCAGCCCCCGCAATCAGTTCTCCTTCAATCATCTCAGCTCTACTGGATGCCAATCAATCCAGACTATCTAACGGAAGAGGACGAAATGGACCCCTTGGATGTCTCTCTCTACGCACAAGCCAACCTTGCTGACTCTTTGGATGATGAAGCATGCAGTACCAAACTTGTCAACAAGGCCTTAATCACGGTTTTCACTCGCCCTTTTGTGAATCCACCAACTCTTGGTAAACGCCAAACCAAGACCGGTCAGATCCTCAAAGGATACAAACAGCCTCGTGTTCAACCTAGCTCAAATAAGCTTGCACCACATGAAATACCAAAAGAAACTAAAAGACAATACAGACTAAACCGAGAGAAGGCTATCGGCAAGTCTACCTTCACTTTTGACAAGCGGGTTGTCCGTGAACCAGCTCCAGCTCTCAATCCAGATCCAGATCCCTCTCCTCCCTCTTCACCTGAAACCAAAACTCATGAAGAAGAAAACTCTGAAGAATCATATGAAGGATCCGATCACAAATACTCTGAAGAATACTCTGACTTATCTGACATACAAAGTGAACTCTCTGATAACGAGGCCAACAACTCTTCTGCTGTGATTGTATCCGACACTTGGATCGATGAATGTGTTGATCAATACCGATCCAGCAAGGCTAAGTCTTCAATGCCTCCAGATATCAAGAAATCAGCTCAGGATCAATTTGATACTTTCAATGCTCAAATCACCGCTGTCTCAGAAAAGTACAAACAGCTCCAAAAAGAAAAACCCAATTTTGAATTTCCATCAGCTATCATTGATGACCTTTGTGAATACAATGCATGGCGACTCGAGCTCACCATTTCTGGTCACAAAGACCCTGCCGTGACTGCTTCCATTCTTACCTCAGCCTCTTTGATACGCCGCCAACTAGTTTTATCTTTTCTTTTTGTTCTTTTGTTATTAACTCTGACATCTTTTCATCTACTCAACAGCTCACTCCTTTATCCCTGCTCCATCACGCCAATACCGTCGCACTACCTGAACATGGTTTTCAAAAAACCATCTGCTACAACACGGCTCAACAATAGCTTCATTGCCTTGGTTTCCGGGCCCACGAGTATAGTAAAGGGCTGTACTTCGACAGCCATGAACAACCTGATGTCGTGGAATACCGACATAAGTACCTTGACTCCATTGCTGAGCTTCAGAAGCGCTCTCGAACCTATGATGGCGACAATCTCGAGTTTTTGACTCCACCCGATCCTATTTCCCTTCAAGATCAAAAGGAAACAATCCTTCTCTTCCACGATGAGTCAACCGTGCATGCTAACAAGCGACCAAGACGTGCTTGGATGAAAGAAAACGCCCAAGAGCTACGCAAGAAAAGTGACAGTTGACTCATCCACAATTCTGACTGGATCACGCCAGCCACAAGCACGGGTCCACCTGTACGTACCGAAACATACGTAGTATATCGGACTGTACAGGTAATCGTACTGTCCAATAGACTCCGTAAGGGATATCTAGATGTAACCAGATGTAAAGATACATCTCGGGTCACCTCAGAATCCCTCCAAGTACAAAATCTCCATACCCCCACACACCATCACCCTCACCATCTCACCGCCCATCTCACCCCCCTTCTCACCCGCCTTCTCACCTCCCATCTCACCTCCCATCTCACCTCCTATCTACCATACTCTCACCTCCCATCTCACCTCCTATCTACCATACTCTCACCTCCCATCTCACCCTATCTCACCGGTCTTGCACCTCCCTCTCACCACCCATCTCACTGCTCTCTCACCTTGCTTTTTTTTCTCACCTCACCAACCCTCGTCATTCCGGAGAGCATCTCACGGACCTCTATACAACATCACTGAACTTCACCACACCATCACCCACGCCACCACCATCTAACACACACCTCTCTCTTTAAACTCACTCACCTCACATCCATGCCTTATAATACTCGACATGGCGGTGGACGTGCATTAAGAAACACACAATCACACCCAAATTCTCAATCTTCCCCACACTCTTCAGAACCTGACACCGACAACCCAGAATCTAGCGACGAGGAGCAATCGGCTGACAAATCTTCAGGCGTTGAAAACACAGCTACAATCAAGATCAAAAAGAAGAAGAAAACCCCACTACCAACCCTTCAGAATTATCATGAACTTGGCCTTGAATGGGGACAAGTACGAGCCGACAGGATTCTGGGCCGCCAGCCTCACATCAAGCCTCGTGTTTCCAAAATCACTCTCTTCGAAGCTCAAGCTCTTCAAGCCCAATATAATCTTGATAAGACGATGTTATGTATAGCTGAAGGAATCAGTCGACCAACCCTCGATGCCGCTCTGTATACATCCCATTATCTTTCAACAACGTCCACGTTTTGATTCTTACTGATGGTATATGATTGTTTTTCTTTCATCACAGATACGAAGGACCACTTGCACGCGAGCCCAATAAATACACAAACTACCAGGCATATAGCTTAGTGAGCACCACCACGCCAAGTCAGTACCTCACACGATTGTAACATAATGTTAGTCTTTGTTTTCAACCGTAGCAATTGACTTGTTACTTCTCACATAGTGCCCCCAAAAGGCCAAGCAGATGGGTTTGAGTCACGAAACAAGATTGTAGGAAATACATGGACCAGCTACAACAATGACGAGCAGCACATATCAAACCGATCATATTTGAACGCCTCATACGTGCTGCGATGGAAGAAACACAAAAAGGCGACGCTTTGATGCCACCTTCAACTACCACTTCTACTGCTCCAACTGACGAAGACAACACCGACCAAATCACTACAGAAGAGAGAGAGCAATACTTACCTCTCTTCCATCGCTTAGTTAACCTGAAAGCTGTGAAACGCGACTTCAAGCATGGGCGCCTATGTAGGCATAGTGGAAACGCTCAAATCCTTGAGAAGGTTGGAATTGAAGAGACCAAAAAAATTGTCAAGCAGGTATGTTGCTTTTTATCAATTGTATAATATGACTGTACATTTATAGAGAACTGACCTTGGCTCGTCAGCTGTCCCTCATTCACAACAAATTTGGGTTCCAATATCATCTCCTTGTCGCTGTGTGGAACCCAAACACTTCCATGACCCGCGCTCTCTATCAAGACGAGTTTACGTCTTGTGAGCATTGGGCTGAACACGCCCGGTCCGAGCCCCACTTGCTCGAACGATTTGCAAACCAGTCGACTCAGGCACCAAAACAAACCAAAAAGGCCAAAAAAACGACCAACTCCACATATCAAGCTAACCTCAGAAAGGACCTCATCACTCGACTCAATGGCCTGATTGGTGAGTAAAGCTGTCTCACAAATTGTTGCTTTTCATTGGCTCACATCCCAGTGAAAACTTCATCACATCAGAAGCACACCTACCAGGTGGCCGTCAAATTAAGTCCGATACTCACCCTCAAGGCCCAAACCCACAAGTCACCTTACAAACCCGAAATTATCGATCTGGGGCCAGCCTGGCTATCCTTCGCCTACCGGACTCGCAAGTCACGGATGAAATGCTTTCAAAGGGGTGTGCAGCAGGAAAACTCCCGGATGCTCAAGTGCAAATATGGATCGATGATATTGTAGCCGGAAGGTACATGATTGTCAAGTCAACCGACCCTCGCCTCACTACTCACCTCGACTCCCAAGAAGCCAGTGGGCCTTAGTCGACTAGCAAAGTCAAAGACGCTGTGTGACAACATGTGTCCCTCCAATGATTGATCTTTCCAGTCTCCTATGTTATACTAGCGTAAAAACTCGGTTGTATATGAATCATCTTGGTTCTACATTCACGACCCAAAAACGGTTTGTATATAAATTGTTTTCATATCAAATATTCACTGAATCACATTATACAGAAGAGTCATTTATGAAAGTTCCGGTCCTGTTAGACCCAAAAATTTATGTGTACACCTTCATGTAGAGTCAATAACGTCCTGACACAAGACGTTATTGAATTCGAACGCCAAATTGGACATTATTGTCTCAGCAATAGCATTGGCACTAACACAAATTACTGAAAGTTAATTGGTTTTCTATCTTATTCTTGAGTCCGAAGCTGACCAATACTTTTTATAAGTACACCATTCAAAAGAACCAAACCACTATTAAAGCATGCATTAAGAACAAGACTGTGTGTAAGTTATAATGTTCTCTCAATCAAATTGGGCTTCGATGAGATGATCATAGAATCTCCTGCGAATCGGTAAACTCGTCATCAATTTGAGTGTCAATAAATTATTCAAAAAATTATTCAAACAACTGTTGCACGATGTCATATGTCTTTTGTTTTGAACTTGCAAGGTGACATGATGGATTTTGCTCTCCATCGGACGTGGATCACTTAGCACGTGATCTGTACTTATTGGTTCCGAGCTAGGAGGGTGGTCATGACCAAATAGACAATCAATACTGACAATCATGTTCTGTTCTCACAATTGTAATTCTGATTTTGCTCTGTTGTGTTTGCTCGGTGTACGTACAGGTGATCAAATGTCAGGAGATTTCATAGTATGTTTCTGATTTCAAATATGGGTCATAATTGACAGTAAATCAAAAAAGGTGTATACAACTATCCACTGGTAGTACCGCCCGCGGTTGTTCAAATACGAGGGACACGGAGCTGACGCTGCCGTCTGGCGGGCTCACTTGGTGATTCCCTTTTTT